TTGCTTATGAGGGAGCAATTACACCCAGGTGGACAGACCAAAAAGTCTTTGCGGTTCGCCCACGCCCCTCCTTCGAGGGGGTTCTACCCTCCTCGGGGCCCGTCTCGTCGCAAGACGCCTGACATCACAGACTTTTGCGGCAACAAGCCCCAAAGTATGCTGATGATTTTCCCACCGCAACCCCGTTTGTGTGGTGGAGGGGGATGGAACGTCACTGCTATCGGCCATGTTTGAGGAACAGAGTCCCACCACCAACCGGGCCGGCGGGGAGGGAACAAGTTGTACTGTACATCACATTATCAGCGTTGCCCGTGACATGTTGTTTTTTTATCGGCCGAGTTTCTCTTTCCAAAGGGATTGGATGTCGAAGCGCTCTCGACTCGTGAACAGCGGAGTTGGTGGACCAACAGGTCATGGTTTTGACGTGATCATCAGCGCGGTTCTACAAATGAGAATTAGGCTGATGAGGAGTCTGGTGATGAGCAGTACCTGTTGTGATCGTCTTGTTGCAGGCAGGCCGTATTTTCTCAGATAGCATATCGTCATTCACGATTTAGACTCGAGTTGAGCCGAGCTTCCCCGGGTTTGCCGGGCCAGGGTCGGGCATGTTCCTGTTTTCCCAGGCGGGGCGATGGTGGTGTTAAAGGAGCCATGTGGTCGGGTTCAATGACTCCCCAGCACCTAGCATGAGGAGGGGCCCAAGCTTGGAATAGCTGCTTTCTGAAGCTTCTACTGTGTGGATGTTTCGATACCGGCGCGCACGGGGTGGCGATGGTGGTTGCTTGTCGTTGACACGGCCGGCGTCCGTGAACTCGGGTCTCCCCTCCTTGGCTCTTTGGGGGCCCTGGACTTTCTGCGACCCAGCGGCTGACGATTGATTGCATGTCACTGCATGCCAGCAGGGGTGGACGGATGGCCTAGTGTACGTCTGGAGGATGCTGTGCTTTGCATGCAACTGATACGTGGGGACTGAAGCGAGCGATCTAACGTAACGGGCATGGTTGCCGCCGGCCGGCTACTTTAGTGTAGACTTCTCATGATACATAAGGTATAGAAGGACGGATACATAATTGATGGGACCGCTCGTGCGGTATCGTGGATGGTTCGAGCTTGAAAGGTCAACGGCGGCTCAGTCGTTGGTCAATTATGTACCGGATTGCTATGAGACGTGGTGCCGTGGTGGAAGCCTCGGCATTGATGATGAGAAGGATTGGTCCATTGGATGAGACAAGAGGCCGGTTGAGATTGATAGAGGCAACCATGCAGGGCCGGTAGAGGAGAACGTGTCAGTGCAACGGCGCGGCTGGTATCGTCAAAGATGGAAGCTTGATGGTAAGGTTGTGTATGGAGTACCCAGCATGGAGTCGTGGAGCGTTGGAGGTGTTGGTTGTTGCATGTAACTTTGGTAGTGGATCTTGACAATTTGGACAAGGTGAGAGAGTGGGGGATCGACCCTTCCTTGGGCTCCGAAAGCGCCGGAGTCGCTGTCCGTTTTCATCTGATCTTGGTCAGCCACACCACACCGTCTACTGAGCACACTCACAGCTTTCGCAACTATCAAAAAGCAACGTTACAGCTGGAGGGGGCAATTCTCCTCCTCCATCCCATCTTGCTCATTAGTTACCGTGCAGTAATGTCCACAGTCAACAAGCTCAACCACAATTGTCAGACAGTGCCCGCCGCGTCTTGTCTAGCAGACACCTATCTACCTTAGTGCTAAGCTTAAGCTCAGTGAGAGGTCCATTGAGCTACCAATTCCTGGCGTCTGCCAGCGAGTCCCAATGCTTCGGCTCAGCATTTCGTCTCTCCTGGTTTAGGTTGCTTCTATCCAAGTGCCACCTGTGGCTGTTGTCTCAGGCTCACAGCGTACCTATAGGCTCTGAGAAGTCTCTATCCTTTCCCTGCTATACGGTACTCTTTCATCGTTGCATGCGCTCATCTCTCATCTACCGGTTAAGCTTAGGTTCCATTCCTCTCATACTCACCCTCTCTTGTCTCTCTCACGCATCCTCTCACTCTATCCCCTGCAATTTCCAATAAACCTTCTCAACCAACTACGAGGCAACGCGGGCACTTACCCCTTCCCGCGTCCATCCATCCATCAACACGAGCTTTCGGCCCCCAAGTGAAGGAAGTGGGTTGGAGCATCGAGCCTGGACTGAGCTAGAGCAGATGAACCAGCCCTTAGGATTACCGCGTGTCGCCCCATCGCCTGTGCGACGTTGAAGACAACCTAGAAGACAATCCTCGCTCATTCCCGCTTCTCACCTTGCCCGCTCACTCACTACCTTGCCTCTCATCCAAGACACCAAGACACCGACCGGTCTTCTGTTCAGTGACCCATTGGTTGCTGGCCGGTGTCGCCATCGCCCTTCTCTCTCCCGACTACCCCCTCCCCACTTCGTCGTTGTTGTTCATCCACTGTCGTTCTTGTTGGATACGACGTCTCTGGGCTTCCACCGCCAACCCGAGCAGTAGAGCGAGGGGAGGGGACCGGCAGGTTCCATTCTCTGTTGTTCTGCCCTCCGTGCGGTGCGCCAGTCACCCTCTCGGGTTGTGCCTGTCGATCCGCTACCTGTCCGTCTACCGTTCCGCCGTGGAGTTCGTTCAAACGTTCGATCAGACATCTTTGCAACCCTCCACTACCTTACCTCTCACACTCTTCCTCGTTCTTTCTCACTCTCACTCTTACCATCTCACTCGCTTCACTCCATCTCAACGGCCTGTCTCCGGGGGACATGGCTCGTGCCCGATTCCGTTTATTTACAATCCGATACCTCGTCAGCTAGATGATCCGGCACCCGATTGTGACTTTCTCCGTTTCATAAACAAAAGTCTCTTAATGTCATGCAGCCATATTCACCTCCCACCATGGCCACGTTTCCAAAGTCTTTCCTGGCCGCCGTCGTCAAGCAGCTACTCCGGGGCAAATCGTTGATTCAAGCCCTCTTAGCGTTCTGGCTCACGCCACAAACCATCTCAGGGAAACCGACAACTTCAAAGGCGGATTGTTGCAGCACATCGGGGACGACGACGCCCTCGGGCCAAAGTATCGAGGAATACCTAAAAGAGGCCGAGCACCTCCTCCTGGGGCCCTTGCTGGACAACGATGGCCTTCTCGAGTTATCCAACGCCCTAAAGGCGCAGTTCAGAGATAAGTTGCAGACGAGCATGGCCTGCATGCTCCCTTCGTACAACCACCAGCTCCCCGGCGGGCACGAGGTCGGTCAATACCTGGCGGTGGACGTGGGGGGATCGACGCTGCGTATCGCGCTGGTCGAGCTGCGGGGTCGTGACGCCGTGGGCCGGGAGAGCGAGATTGTGCGGATGAGTTCGTTCAAGATCGACAACGACATTAGGAACTTGGAGGGCATGGCCTTCTTCGACTGGATGGCCGAGAGGATATGGGACATGGTGTCACAGGACGGCCAGGACCCTTCACGGCCCATGCCCATGGCCCTGGCATGGAGCTTTCCCATTGAGTAAGTTCAGTCCTCGTTGCTAGGGAACGATTTAATTCAACCGGGCGAGAACTAATCATCACCACAAAAGGCAAACATCACTAAAAGGCGGCCGCATCCACGGCATGGGCAAGGGCTTCCTCGCCGCCGAAGGCCTCATGGGCCAAGACCTCGGCGAGGTCATCGAGACCGCCTGCGCAGCTAGGGGCCTGAGAGGCACCCGGCTGCGCGTCATCCTCAACGACGGCGGCGCCACCCTGCTCTCCCAAGCCTACGTCCACCCGGCCACCCGCTTCGGCCTCATCCTCGGCACCGGCGTCAACATCGCCGCCTACCTCCCCGTCTCGCTGATCGGCAAGCCGAAATTCGGGGACCGCCCGCGGGAGTGGTGGAGCGAGGCGCGCGACGTCATCGTCAACACGGAGCTCGGCATGTTTGGCGGCGGGGGCGTCCTCAGCGTCACGCGCTGGGACGGGCTGTTGAAGCAGGGGCACCCGAGGCCCGATTTCCAGCCCTTGGAGCAGATGGTGAGCGGGTACTATCTCGGCGAGGTGGTGCGGTTTGCGTTGATTGAGGCGATTCGGACGACGGGGGTATTTGGCGGCGTGGTACCCAAGTCTCTTGATGAGCCGTACTCTTTGAAGTCCGAGACGATATCTACTATTGAAGGGTAAGCTTGACTTCCTCACACCCACCCTTTTTGACGAATACTCTGCTAACCATAATGACAGAGATACGTCACCATCACTCTCATCATCTATCGACCTCTTCATCGCCCAACATCCCTCATCTCACACTCCCACGCCATCAGACCTCGCCGCCCTCCGCAGCCTAGCCTCCTTCGTCTCAAGGAGGTCAGCCGCCATCATCGCAGCGTGCTTACATGCCGTATGGTCCCTCCGTCTCGAGTCTTTAGCCGAAGAAAAGGAGGCCAACGCAAACCGGACGGCGTCGACGAACCAGGAACCCGCAGAGGGCGAGGACGCGGACCTTCTTCACCAGAGAATAGAAAAGGAAACATCCCTGCCCCGAACGATGGTAGCCTACAACGGCAGCGTCATCGAGTGCTACCCGGGCTATCTGGCAATGTGCCAGTCGTACGTCGACGCGCTGGTCAACAGGGGCGACAGGAGCGTCGAGCTCGTGCCGGCGAAGGAGAGCTCGCTGCTGGGGGCCGGCGTCGCGCTGGCGAGGGCTTGTGATGGGACTGCGTAAAGGGGGCGAGGTTTTCCCTCACTGGGCGTCACATAACCCTCGAGAGTGTGTGGACTGAGAAATGGGAGGATAGAGATGATTTTGCACTTTTGAGTGGCATAATTTCTGACAACATGCATGGCAAGGAGTAAAAACATGGCTTTTTTTCTACAAAACGTATATAATCATAAAGCATTGCAATCAGCTCAGCAGGCTCATCGTTGATGAGAATTTTCATCTCATTATTTGAATTTTTGGGGGGTATCATCACTTCATTTCCCGTCTCTCTATGGCTCTGAGCAGACGCATCTCAGAAAAGCCAATCTCTGCACATCGGCACACGCCTTACTCCTCGTCGTCATCATCAACAATTTCCTCCACCTTGCGCTTCTTCCTCCCTGCTGAACGGCCCCCCTCCCGCTTGACCACCCGCGGCTCGTCACCATCTCCGTTCCCGTCCGACTCTTCACCCTCTCGCTCTTCCTCCTCCTCCTCCCGACGGCGTTGCTGCTCCAGAGCCCGCTTCATCTTGCGCAGGATAACTGGATCGTCAAAGAAGTCGTTGAGAGCGATTTCCTATGGTATTCTCCGTTAGTGACTGAAAGGCATTTCCTAAAAATTGGGAGGGCACGTCTTCATCGAGACTTGAAAAACAAGACGTACCTTGGAACAACCAGCCACGGGACACTGCGCGCGATGACCCGGCGACCTACGCAGGAACTCTGTAATCGCCGCCTTTTCAAACGTGTGGCTGCACGCGCTGCTGCTGACGGGGTCCTTGAACAGTTGCATGGACAGCGGGCACCTGTACTCCCTGTTCTCTCCAGCAATAACGAGGTCGTCGTCGCTGTCGTCTGCCTCCGCACCCCTCGCAGCTGCCGCGGCTGATTCGCCATCACCACTGCCGCCTCTCCGGGATACGGTAGGCATGACGGGGTTTCCGGCATCGTCAAACCAACGCTTCGCATTGGGTAGGGAAACCTCAGCGTCGCCGTGCGCGGCATCGTGCCACAGCTTCTTGAAGGCGGCGTAGTCGTTATTGACGGCGTAGCGCTGGTAGGCCGTCATGCGCTCGTACTCTGTCAGCTTGTCGGCGCGCTGCTGGCGTAGTATGTCGATGACGGAGTACTCTGGCGGCGGCGGGAGCACGCTCTCGTCCGCTGCGTCGTTGTCGTCCTCATCTGCGTCGCCGCCGCGACCGTTGGCCTCCGCTCGTGTGCGCCCGCCGCGTTGGAGGGGCGCCTGCTCGGGGAGCGTCTGGAAGTAGTTGACCGTGTCCGCGAGCGCAGCCTTTTCGTCAAGGAGCTCCGTCTGCCTGTCAATCAGATCGCGCAGCGCGGCCTCGGCTTCGGCCGTCAGGCGGGGTACCTCGTCGTCCAGCGCGGCTGTATGTGCTTCAACGTCGAGCTCGCGCTGGGACTTTTCCTGGCTGTCGAGACTGTCCGTCTTGCTATCTGCACCCTGCGATTGCGACTCGGCGCGCTTTTCGGCGAAGCGGGCGAGGGCCTCGTGCCGCGTGCGGACGGCGTCGTTGATGCCGACAACGGAGAAACCGAGATGTCGTATCGAGGCTTTCAGGTGGTTTTCGTAGCGATGAACATCGCGGCTGTTGGAGAGATCTGCGATGGCGCGCTTCGCTTCCGCTGAGAGCGGGCAGGAGAGGGGTTCGTATTCTGGGAGGGGATTCTGGGGACCAGAGTCATCGTCTTCGTCGTCGGCGATACGTCTTTCTGGGCGGCGTTGGCCTCTGCGACTTAGTACGGGCATCTTTGTTCAGGGCGCTGGCTGGTCGATGTCGTCGCGTTCGCGTCTGCTTGTCCGAGTTGTATTTATGTATAGAGCGTAGGATGCGGACGGAGTGATTGCTTTCGTTGGTCGAACGTGGATTCTGAGCTTCACCAGCTTCAAGGATGGGAAATTTCGTGGAAGTGAAGTGGGAGACGCGATTGACGTGCTGTAGCGCGTCTGTGGGTTAAAGAGGTGCCCGGTACGTACCGTCCGGGGTTCCTTGATCGCGGGGGTAGTCCCTGCAGCACCAAGGTACGCTTATACACTTCCAACCAACGTCGTCCATCTTCTAGGAAACTGGAACTTTCTTCCTTTCACTTTACTTCATGAGTATCTTAAAAAGCATAAATTGCTACATTTATCGTCGAGGTAGTTTAGCCTGATATTCAGGCTCCCATGGTTCTTCGTGTTGCTCCTCTGTCGCGAATTCCCTCGGACGGTTGGAAAGCACCCGCAGCAATGAGGTGTAAGTACACCGTAATCAACTGATGGTCTGGCTTTATGTCGAAAGCGAGGAGAGCCCTTGAGAGAAAATCTTGTGAGGATGGTCTAGAAGGTCACTTTATTAGTCGTATATGAGTTTGACTATGACTTCCAAGCCTCCACACATTATAGAACGCTTTTGTTTTATCAGCTCATCAACACCAGTGACAGTAGCAATAAGTACTACGTACTCTTGAACATTTCCTTTCGGAACCTCCACTACGGTGCTGCTTCCACCGTACATAATGGCAATCACCACATATTGTTGTGAATGTGCTCTTTACTAAGTGGAGGCAAATTTCTCGTCGAGATGATACTTACAGTCACCGCAAAGTGGGAGTCATATCCTGTCAACCTCTACTAGGCCGGTTTCATCTACTAAGTAACCCTTGCAGGTGATGTCCCAAGGCTTTGGATCATATGCTCTCATGTTAAAGTTCCTCTATTACAGGACCTTCCAGAGGTTTAGAGCTCTCTCTTCTGTCTGGGAATACCAGCTAGGTCACACTAAAGCCAGCAGGGCAGTCCAGCTCGTAGTGCGATACTCATAGTATCCTTCTTTGTAACGCATTAGATAGTTGAGAAGCATATTCCCAGGACCTCCAGTTATCCGGGGAGAAGAGATAGCAACATGACAGCCGGTGTTGTGTGTTTTGGACTAAGGCAAGGCCATCAAGATCCTGAACATTCGAGGAATGACGCCACGCCTTTTGCGCTGTTCACCCTTTCGTGGCACAAGGAGCTACTTTGACCGAATATGCGCCCGCGCAATACACGTAAGTCTTTAATTTCTTACGCTCATGTCTTCTGGGAGACCAAGACCAATGAGCCTTATCGAATGTGAGAGTTTGCCTCAAAATCTAATATAATAGACAACAAATCAAGAACAGAGTCATGAAACTGGAATAATAGTTTGAAAATGACAGGTCATAGCCTCTCTGTGGGATTCAGGAGGCGTAGGAATAGTAATCCCTTTCCTCAGACGTGCCTTCCGTTTGACAAAAGCCTAGCCCAGCAAGATTATCTCACTGAGGGTTAAAAAGTCTTGACTCAGCACCTGGAACAGGATTCTGGCAATTGTCTCGACAGATTACTAAAGAGCACCTTACGGCTTTCTTGATGCCTCGCACTTGTTGGCGGCCCAGTGATTGGAAACGCATAAGCTATTTGGCTATGGTGACCACCGTGGATATCTGTCTAGAATCTTCACGGGACTTTAGAAGCTTCAAAGAAACTACAGGGCCTACTATCAAGTCAGATTCGGTCGTCGTCTAAACACCCCCGTCGTCACGCACAACGTATCCATCTCCGAATACGATGTGCTGCGCGAGTAGTAGTGGTGAGTAGCGTACATCGCTATAGTATTGCGCCCTTTATTTTGATGCTTTGTGTATAGAGTACGCTCAGTCTGAAGCCAATTGACACACTCCGATAGCGTACTTCTCACAAACGTTTTTAAGTCAATCTTACTTATATCCAAGTTTCACAGACCACTTTATCTCAAGAAAGGCTAATCTAAGTTTCACATGTTAGATAATTCCTAAAAAAAAAAGAAAACGATCTAGCTACAAAGACCTTAGCATGTCATAGTCTATGAAAACTCGCGTAGCCCGCGTCAATGATGTCTTATAAAAACAAACTCACTTCGACCGCGAACCTCCCAAAATCGATCATTCAAGTAAAAAAAAAAGCAAGGCGGAACCAGCACCATACACTGATCTAGCTAGAAGAATACGGAGCACAGAGCCACGAGTCGTAGAGCGAATACTCTTTCTTTAAGGAGAAGAGACTGAACCTGCTACATCAAGGAGCTTCAAGTCAACTCTGAGTCCTTGGAAACGATGTCAAATCGAATAGCCACTTACCCCCCCCCCCCCCCCCCACAGTGTATAAGAAAGTCTTTCAGTCAAGATTATCAAAACCGAACTTGCCATTGCTTCTCAAAAGCTTTATTCCTGTACAAACTTCATCTAGAGATGAGACACATACCGAGACCCATCACATACAGGTTTTGAACTTATGTAGACTCGAACTGCCAAGCGAACAACACCTCTGTACTAAACCTTACACAACGATTCCTCCATATAAAACATCCCCCTTCCCCCGCCCCCAATAACCCCTTCTCACATTGTCAAGGTAGCCCTCCTAAGCACACCCCCTCCACCTACTCACCGGCAGCCCAGCACCAAGACTGGGGACACGGTCGAGAAGGATATATATCTATATATATATCATGAAGTGGGTAGCCCATGTACATCATCAAAGCCAACCGCCGTCAACCCACCCCCTACATCGCCTGTCAACGGTCACACAGCCCCCCAAGTACGGAAACCTCAAGCCTGCAAGACATCGTCAGCTACCTGCCGGCAAACGGGGAGTCGTCCGCCCCCTCCTCGCTCTGAGGTCTCCCGTCTCTCGGGAAGGCGACGGCGATCGATGGCCTTTTCGAGGCAACTTCTCTCTCTCTCTCTTCCTTCTGTCCCTCCCACTCATGCCCATCTACATACTTATTTCGGTTATACGTTGATCAGAACACACCGAGTGTTCAGCGATCTGAAATGTCCCCAAGAAGGGTGACGCTGGAGATGGAGTCAACCATCGACTTCGAGCCTCGAGCTCTTCACGCCTAGTACCTACCCGACAACGATGTCGACAGCAAAGATCCAGTCCAGAGAAACGACACCCCGAGAACTCCTCCCACCGCCCCACGAAACGAAAAAACCATCTCCGTCTTCTATTTCCGTCCTCACCGGGGAAGGAAAGAAAGAAGGCGAGAGAAGGAAGCGGAGCCCGCGCGGGGAGGGAGTAGGCCAGATGCCGGTGCCGGGCTTGGGGTGCTGGGTCATTGGGAGATGCTGCAATCCCCGTGTAAACGAAGTCAACCATCTCCGAAGGGACACTCCACACCCGTCAAAACGGTTCTCAGGTCCAGTCCCAGTAGATAGGTGGATGCCCTCTTCCCCCGATGACGAGGACCCGGGTCTCTCGAGGCAGGCTAAGATGAAGGTCAGCTGTGCATAAGGTTCATAATCCAAGTGTGCTGACCATTGTGTTCAAGCGGCGAGGTTGAGATAGTGATATATATATACGCCTTATATACCGACTTACACAACATGGAAGCCTGCACAACTTCCCGCCCCACCCCACCACCCTCAGAATTACACAAACCTAGAACCTTCATTTGCAGAAAGAGAGCCAGGTTTCGTGGGTAAAACCATAACCAGCAACCCGGTATTCGTACCCGTCGTAACTTCCGACAAAAGAAACCCCCTCCCCTCCTCCCCAAGCCTCAAGGTTTCCAGAGCCCACCAATATTGACAGACACAGCCACACCAAATCTCAATGACAGTTCACTTACTCATCTCACTCTCCGGAGGGGGAGGTGGGGAGGCAGAGGAAGGGGGGGGGGGGTTAAATTGGAGTTGCTTCATCCTTTCTTGGACATCGACAACATCTCCACACCACACCCGCGGAGGCGGGAAAGACGATGGCCTCGAAAGGGGAAATCACTTGATCCACCCTGATAGCCCTCCCGTAATGTTACCAGTGTAACGGTAGCACTAAGCAATTTTGACAGGACCCAGAAGGCAGCTTCGCTTCCGGGCCGTGAGGGTCTTGAAGGAATTCGGATGTCAAGCCGCAATTAAAAAGCTTGGTGGGTTTACCAGGTATGTCGGGCATTCACGAACTCACCTCGTCGGGCCCGAAGAACCCTTGCGAGACATGAATCTCCGGCCGAATCCAATACACTGGCCCCGCGGGTAGCAAAAGCACGATGAACGACGCGTAAAGAGTGGCGATGAAGAAGTTTCCTGTTTCATCCGACAGGTTATTTTGTACTAAACACCAAAAAAAAGATGTCCAAAAAAGACTACTCCGGGCCACGCTCTGTATGCGCTTTATGTGCCTCAGGAGAGATGCAACCGTTTGTAAATGTAAGCTTATACAATGGGCTTTCGCCCGAAAAAAAAAACAAGCTGGGCGTGAACTGTAAGGCCACAGCTTTTTCATTTTTTTTTTGCCCTCCAGTTCGAATGTGAAAACCTCCCTCCTCCGTAGAGCCTCATTGTAATGAATCTCTCAATCCATATACATTGGATCCCCCCTCACCTGTGACATGGCCAGTCCCATGTCACCACCATGCATGCTCTGCATCGTAGCTTGCATATTAGGCATTGACCGGCTCATGTTGATTGCTTGCCGATTCGCATTCGGATTCCCGTTCTGCATCATGAACCGCGCATCGCTAGCACCCCTTTGCTGGACCTGCCTCGTCCGCGGCACCTCGAGGGTGGCTTGTCGTTGAATCGGCTGCTGGGGCATGGGCTTCGCGGTGGGCGTGTTCATTACGGCAAAACTGTCATCATCCTCCATCTCAGCATCGGCGTCGGCGTCGGCATCCCCATCCGCATCCACATCTTGATCGCTTGCCTCGTCAATCGAGGGCGGGCCTGTTGAATCACCCGGGTCGCTATGGCCAGTGGCGCTCGTTGTCGACTGCCGATGCTCGGGGCTCGGGAATTGTTGCACCTGCTGTTGTTGCATTTGCTGCTGCTGTTGTGCTGCTTGCATCTGTTGGTGTTGTTGCGGTTGCTGTTGCTGCCCTTGCTGCTGGTTCTGTTGTTGCTGCTGCTGCTGTTGCTGAGGAGTCGGCGTCGGCGTAGGGGTGCTGTTGTTTGCTTGGTCCAGTGCCCTCTGAGCATTCATGCCAGTGTTGGCGACACGGTTCATGCTGATAACCGTCTTCCACCTCTCGATTGCCCGCACAACAACATCGTTCAAATCCAGTTGCCGGTCCTCCAATCGCAGTCCAACGTGGCGGCTTCCACTCTTGATACCTGCCTCCAAAACGTGAGTGAGAAGCTGCCGCTCCAGGGGCACCGTGGCCGGCGAGAATAGCTTGAATTCTCGGGGCTGTTGGAGACGGTTGAGCTGGTCGATCTGAGACTTCAGGTTGGCGTTCTCTTGCTGTAGCCTGTGCTGATCATCCTTCATCTTGTCGATCTCGGTTTGCTTCCTGCCAACGCTCCTAGCCATTTCCAAGAGCCACAGCTCGTTCCGCCGCTGAATAGGCAGAGAAGACCAAACTTGGAAGGCCGAGCCAAGGTGCTCATTCACCTGCTTCTCGAGGTTTTCCGCTGACTTTTCCGCCTTCTTCACTGCTTCGCGGGTGTCTCTGACGGGTTGATCCCGAGGAGGATACGTTAGATCTTCCATAGCTGCCGTAGTAGCCGTTGCGCAAGTGATTTTCCAGTTACTGAATTCTTCTTGGAAGAAAGCCTTCAGAGCATCGTACTCTCTTTGACCAGGTGACTGAACGGACCAAGAGGTGGAAGTGGGATGCTGGGTAGAGGAGAAGAGAGTGGGTGGCGAGGCGAGGCATTGCAAGGTTAATGCAGGAAAGTCGAGGGCTAAAGGGTCAAAGTCGAAAGGCATGGAGTTGTTGTCGATTTGTTGCCTAGAGTAGCCAGGGTTAGCCACCATATATCTCTTTCCCCAATTGTCACACTTCTGTTGTTCGTCAGAGAAACTCACTTGGCTGCCCTCCACGAGCTTAGAAGCTCTCGTAATGCAAGCTCTGCCGCGCGAGCAGTATCCATGGCATCTGCTAGCTTGTGCTTGACGTCGAACTGCGCCTTTTGCATGACTTGCTTGCTCACTTGTCTTGGCCTCTTTCCTGCATTCTGGCTGCCCTCGCCATCGGTCGAAGTACCGACTTCGCCGTTTTTGGCGGGGATGTTGTTCATGACGCCAGTGGCTTCCCACGAGGGAGTCCAAGGATATTTGCTCAGCGTAGAGTCCACGGCGTATTGCCCGTCCTTTGGCAGAGCCGGGGACTTGTGAGACTCGCCACTATCTGGCGCAGCATCTCGCTTGGTGGCAGGTCTAGGGGTCGTAGCTGGAGTTGAGGCGTTCCTCCCACCCAAGGATCCTCTCGGCTGTCTGCGTGTGATGCTTCCTCGCAGACGCTTGATTGCGTCAACGTCGTGGATTCCATCTGGCGGCTTGGGGTTCTTCTCCTTGATGTAGAGATCGAGGTGTCGACCGAGAGAGGAGGAGGTAAAGGCCTGGCCGCAGTAGGGGCAGTTCTTATCCTTGGGGGCGCCTAGTTTCTGTTGGCTCGAGTCGGCGTTGCTCGCGGTTTCGGCCATTTTGGCTCGGGGTGTTGGATGTAAAGAGACGGGTGGGTAACGAGTGTTTCGAAAGGTTTATCGGCGGTAGGGACGAATCCGTGTTCGTTTCAGAGAGGGTGCTACAAGGCTTCTCTTGCGTGAATAGACACTTGCAGCTGCTCCAGGGGAGCTATGTAATCGAGGGTCATGTGTAGATGGACCGGGTAGAGAGTGATCGGAGGCGAAGCCAGCAAAGTTTAAAGTTGGTAGATAAGGTAAGGAAATGTAACGAGTGGTGTTGAGGACAGAGTAGTTAGATAGGCAAAGAGAGTAGTTAAAAGAGGGAAATAATCAAAAAAAGAAGGACTAGATGCTGAAGAGCTAAACGAGTGTGCGAAGAGAAGGAGGTCGGTGGGAGATGTCGAGAAGTAGCTGCTACCCTTGTACGGACAGAGGTTTACTGAACGCAAGCCAATCCTTGTGACGAAGAAACGTGTATATCGGCCGTTCACGGAGTCAGGTATGGGAGAGGTTCGGGGTCGGTTCGAGATGTGGGCGAGAGCCAAGGTAGCGAGTCGGGTCGACGGAGGAGGGTAAAAAGTAGGATGCCGGGTATTAAGGAAGTAGTAAAATCTTTTCCCGGACTTGTCTCTCTCTCACGCGCTCTTTCTCTCGGTCTCTCGATCTCTCTTGCCGTGCAGGTTCTCAATTCATCCGCGGACTCTCGCAATCTCTCGACCTCTCTGCAAAAAACGAAAAGAGACGAAGAGGGGGTGGGTGGGAAAAGGGCAAAGGACGGGGAGGTGGAAGTAAAGTACAGAAGAGTAAGGGGAAGTTGCAAAAATGTCACCCGGGATTTAATTATTGCAGTTTTTTTTAATAAGGCAGGCGGGCAGGGGTAGCACCACCGACCCGCGCCAGAACAGGACGGCGAGGTGGGAGCTTTGGCGCACCCTAAGGTACCACCTACCTTGGTCCTTGAGACCTTGGGTGCTTAGGTAGGTACACCTCATTGTGCGGTACGGGGCGGAGAACTGAGGTGCACCCCCCTCCATCTTCTCTACAAGTACATACCCACCTCACCTCACACTAAAACCATCCCTCTTCATCCCTCATCCCTCACTCATCCCATCCGGGCCATCCCAATCCCAATCCCAATCCAATCCAATCCAATCCAATCCAATCCAATCCAATCCAATCCAATTCTATCCTGTCTATCCACCATGACCAGCGAGCCAGCTCCTCACTCCTGTCCGCTTTCCCCCAGATTGCCGCCAGTGTGCAGGTGCAGGTGCCCTGGTGGCCAGGTGCAGCGCGCGCGCGCAAGCTGCAAGCACAGACGGAGCCAAGGACGGCCCAGATGCAAGCCCCCCCTTCACAAGTTCACGGGCTCAAATGTCCAGGGCCGTACGGTGGTCCCACCTCTGCGCCGGTGCTCTCTTTTTCATATCCATAAACACCTTTTAATAGCCATTCACTGCACCTTAATAGCACCTTAGCACACTGATCTACCGTGGCATTAAAATAGTTGGAATATCGACTTGGTGAGTTAGGTAATGTCCAATGACGCCTCGCGAAGCTGGCTGCGTCAGGGAGGCGAGCCGTAGGGTCTCATCAGCCAACGGGGAGAGGAAACGTATTCCCGCATCTCCTCTCTCGGAAGGTCGAGGCCAAGTCCAAGATCAAGGTACCCGACGCTGTACCATCCATGACAGATATCCCAGCACACCATAATCAGCCGCCTCGCGCCTCGAAAACAAGGTGAAGAGAGAGCTCGAGCTATCGACACCTTACTTCACTAACTGCCCGGGAACACCTTACCTTAATTCTACACCGACTGCACACCACCATTGTGACCCATAGCATCTCAAGCGGCTTTGCCTATCGGGGTAACATGGCTAAATTTTCACACACAGAGTTAAACCGAGAATCCCTCGTCCGCGGAGTAGCTCCATCTCCAAAGACTCCATCGACGCGCTCTTGTTGGTCCAAAGTGCCCACCAACTCCTCAACTCGGCATCTCTCCAGAGAGCCAGTCAAGAGTCCCCTAAGCCTACCAAGCACGCGATGTGTTCAACTGGGACCCAAACTCAGTCCTCAGATATCAAGACCATCCCGCTTAGGATGTCTCCTTGAGCCGCCGTCATTCCAGCGTCTGGTGGCTCTCTCACATGTCCCGTCGCTTATTCGCTTAGTGTAGTGCTGATCTGGCCCGCGGAAAGGAGAGGGACAGCCCGGCGTCGCCCTGTGCATCAGTGCTACTGGTCTAGCGCTGTCGTGAGGGGTGTACCGGGAACTTTTGCCTCGAGCAAGCTTGCTTGTCGTGTCTCTTCCACGTCGCCTCTTGTCTTGTCTTCTCCCCCTCGGGTCCCGATCTGAACCACCCATACAAGACCCTTTAGCAGTTGAGGAAGTATTTCTTCAACCCTGCCGAGCTGCCTCATTAAGCCATAATTGCGTTGGGCAGCCTGGCCTCTCTCCGACTCTCTGACTCGGGCCCGTCCTTGAGGGGCCCTGGGTTCGCGGCTTGTCATTGCGAAAGAGCTCCAGTGTCCAGAGGCCACAGCCTTGACAGCCGTCGACGGTTGTGACTCGTGAGGTAATTAGCTGAGGGCACGACCCAATGGAATCCACGGCACAAATGTTCAATAAAACGCAAAGATGCCCAAAGCCAATATGTCGTCTGGTCCAGTCACAGTGGTGCTCCAGTCTCCAGTCTCCAGATACCACCTTTCAACTCACCTCATTCCCATCCTCACCGCGTTGGACAAATTCTGGCTAGACTGGTCGACCGACCGGGGCGCGGGTTGGCATGCCCGGTTCGTTTCTTTAGGCTCCTAGGGTCCCACAGACTCCCACTGGCTTGTATCCGATCCATTTTTCAGGGGGTTTCCGGGAGATCATCCAGGGGAGCCGGTGAAGGACCTCGTGCTAACGGCGCCGACGAACATCGCGGAGTTTGTCTCATGAACATTGCTCACGCAGCATGTATACGTCCTGGATCTGTATACAGTAAGGCGAAGCGGCTGGTCTTCATCAGTTTCTGACAATGTCGGCAAGAGCTTGTTCCGACGAGAGACGGCAGGATTCCACACGTAAACAAGGCCGTGTTCTGCCGAATGTTTGGCCTTGGCTCTTGTTCCTCTCCGCTCCGTGTGTTTGACCCGGGGATGCCATCCGGTGTAAAAGGACCCCGTTTTCCTGCATCTAATAATGGGGTTGGCATCTGCAAGACGCGACGCAAGGACTACGGGACAGATAATCGCGTCCAGGCCACTCATCCTCGAGCTCGCGGCGGCGGCGGTTCCTATCGCCCGCTGTTGCTGGATTCGCTGACACTCCCGGTCCTGGTCGTCCCCTGGAGGCTGGTCGTCTAGTGTAGCCTCCCGCAGCCGCAGCATCTTGGGTCAACCTTGTCTGTCTGGGACCGTCTCGTACGGGCCCCATAAAGTCCACCGAGGAGGTCGACTCAACTGCACACCAACTGACGTTAGCAGCCTGCAGGACACCGATAATTTCCCGCCGCCTCTCGTACGGCAGCTGGAGCTGACACTCAGCGCCACGGCGTGTTTGGCCCTGATCCAGAGCAATAGGCACTCGCTGGCCCGTTCTTCGACCTTAAAATGCCATAACTTGGCATCATCCGCCCTGGGTTGGACGCGAGGGAGAAGCGAAGTAGTTCTGTTGGTCGGTCGGGACCTTGCAGATGATCACCGAACATGGCTGGCACTTGTCCACCAGCTGCGAAATCGAGATCCATGTCTTTTGGCGCTTGCCTAACCCTCGTTGGTTGTCGTATTTGAACAGCAAATCGCAACCCCTTTTGCACTGCAGACATTTTGATGAGATGCAAATTACGCTTCTGCAGTTACATGCAGATACGCTGCACATCGAGTCGTTTTTTCTCCGTTGGTTGGAGCGGCACAGTCTCGTTGGTGCCGAGAAGCGCCCTTCGCAGGATAAAGTAGCAGTGTCTGGCAGATCTCAGCGAGCTCGCTGGCAAAAAAGTAGACCTCGGCGTACATCGCAGATGCGTTCTTCTTCTTGGATTGGCTGTCGTCGATCGTCAGATTAGCCGCGCACGAACTCATGCGATTTGCCGTATCCAACACCCAACGACTTTGGCAAGGGATGATTGCTGTTGAGTAAGGCAACGACGCAAGCTTTGACCAGACTAGCTTGCGACGTTGGAAAAAAGTATAATCAGCTTATCGACTGCAGCCGGTGTCAATGTCATAAGGATTAAGGCACCGCGATGCAGCGTGTGAGATGTGAAGAATTGGCAGGATCAACTTGGGAAAAAGTTGTCATCTGCTCAGAATTCGTGCGGCAAAACGGGACAGTGAATTGCTTAGGTACTTATTCTGGAAGCTTCCAATCGAGGCGAGAACGTATCAGTGCCTTCCTAGAATTGACTCTCTGGTATACTACTATACCAGCGTACAATGAAGGGACTACATTACATCAAGTAAGGCAAGGTACCTTAAGGGAACGACGTAGGTGGGTAACTTACAAACGGGAGTAAGATTCGAGGCCGACCTTCCAGGTTGGAGCTTGGTCCACGGGTTCGGAGCTCCACATGAGCTCCTTCTGCCGTCAGCTGTGGGTACTCAGAGGATGGGGGCTCCCGGACTTGCAGGAAAGCGCCGGAATTGGTGGCGGCAGGTATCCGTTCTTTCTCCTCCGTCCAGAGAAGTGGCTAGTGCTCAGAGATCACGTGATAGTTGAGCGCCACAATTGGCTGTGACGCGACTCTGCTGCAGCATCTTGCTACCTTTGTGCAAAAGTTGGGGCAGCTTCCGGTATTTGCGATCGTCTCTTTGGCAGCGCATCGCAGCTTCCTTTCACGTTGAGTCTTGCGCAACCTCCTGTTTGCGACCATTCACGTCGCTACTGCCTAAACGAGCTGCGTATACACCTTGGAATAAACAATCTCTACACAATGCCTCCCGGTAAGTCCTCACCTCTTCGAACTTCACCCCTCGCGCCACTAGCCAAGTCGCGTCGAGATTGCGACAACACACTTCACGACGCGAATCCTCCACCAATTTTCCATACAACGTCACAATGTCGCGTCGCATGAAGCTGACAGCTTCTATAGCTATTAGCGATGACGAGATGTCCGACGCCGGCGGCGAAATCGCTATCCCGCTCAAGGAGAAGCGCGCAAAGAGCCGATCCGCAGAATACCGAGACGATGTCAGCGAAGCTAAGAGCGAAGAAGACATTCCCATCATCTCCGGCGACCTGAACGGCAACGCCACCAAGCCTGCCAAAGCTGCTAAGGTAGCCGCTGTCGTGGCCGATGAGGAGGACGAGGAAGGCGACGAAGACGACGATTTGGAGGCTGATGAGTACGCTACCCACACCAAACGGCTTTGCTCGGACAAAAGGGCTGACCGGCCATAGATACGTTGTCGAGAAGATCCTTGACCATGTGGTGTCCGACGACGCAAGTGGCCCTCTTCTGTTCTTCTGTTGGCAGTGCGCCTCGATACTAACGCTTCTTGCAGGGCACTGTGAACTTCCGTGTCAAATGGGAAGGTTACTCTAAGAAATCAGACCAGACCTGGGAGCCGGAAGACAGCCTGAAGTAAGCTTCAAACTGTGATTTGCGATCGACACCAATTTTGAAACGACGCCTAACACATTACCAGGGAAGGCGCATCAGAGATCTTGGAAGAATACCTTAAGAAGCTCGGTGGGCGTGAGGCGCTGTTTGAGGAGAAGACCAAGGCCAAGACCACGAAGAAGCGCGGCCGCCCCAGTGCTTCGTCATCTACACCGCCGGCGAGCAGCAAGAGGGGCAAGCGTAATGGTCACCCCGCCGAATCTACTCCTCCCGCGTCAGTAAAGGAGGCTAAAGCGAAGGCCTGGACGCTGCCCAGCGGCAGCTGGGAGGATGACGTCGAGTCGATCGATGCCTGCGAGGACGAAGAGTCAGGCTCCATCATTATCTATCTCAATTGGCGAAACGGCCAGAAGACTAAGCATCCCAAGGAGGTAGTGTATAAGAGATGTCCCCAAAAGGTATGGTCCCATGTATCTCGGCGCAACACGGGATGACGACGCTAACGGATACGTAGATGCTGCAATTTTACGAAAAGCACATTCGCATCATCAAGGCGGGACCTGACGCCGATCCTACGGACCTTGATACCGCGCCCGAGGCCAAGATGTAGGACACGAAAATAAGGGTGCCGTTTGTGAATTTTATTGGGAAAGGATTGGCGTTTGGGCTCGTGATACGTCTGATATCATTAGCAGGTTCTCGAGCGCCGTTGGCTTGGCTTCTGCTCGTTGCGATATTTGCACGCTTTCAGTCCTCGGAAGAAGTCTCATCAGGCCATATCTAAAATCAGGTCGAAGGCGATTCGGACTGTGGGAGGGCTTGCTATATCCTTATTGCAACTGGAAGCGGGAGGAGGTGTGCTTCACGGTTATCCTTCGTAATCTCGGGAGAAAAGAAAATCGCAAGTTCCTCTGTTGATTCCGATTGCTCCAGCTGATGCGTGAGGTTGCCCTTTGTTGTCTCCGTAAAGGACGGTGAACATCTTACATTCCCAATATGCCAACGCAGCTTGGGCGGGCAGGAACTTCTCGGCGTTCATATATTACGAGTGAGCAACATGATCTCAGAGTCGCGAAAGGCACTTCATCCATGTCAATAGGCGGGTGCCGCCGAGTGCTAGATCCAGGTACGATGCAGGTACAGCTAAGTCATGGCCAAGTAGCGCTTTCGGTCTGGTCAAAGTCACGACACACACAATTTTACAGCAAAGAGTACATCCGACCTCTCCCTAAGACGGAGAGGCTTACTGCGACAAGGGTAAGAAACCTGCATGTTGCGAGTCCGCGAGGTTGGGTAGTGGAGGACGTCGACAGCAAGCCCGTCGGGATACTCCACTAAAAAGCAGCTTTACATCCCTGCATCGCAGGCGGTTGGACGAGTAGGACAGCCTGAAAGTCGCGGTAGCGTTGTCGCGGATTTTTTGGCCCAGGGTGGTAGTGGTGGTGGTTGTGGTACTTGGTGGTGCGGCGCGCGGCCCAGCCTCTCGCATTTCTATTGACTTTCGGGTTTTGCGGCTGGGCGGGCGACCAGCTTTGGGAAAGCTGGTGGCGGGGCAACGCTTCTTTTTAACGTGAGGCTTGCCCGCGCTGCATTCCTCACCATTCCCAATTCCCCTCCTCTCTTTCTTCTGATACATTGCATATTCTCATTGCGAAAAAGGGTTCATTTGAATGATCTCGAGGTTTCTTTCCCCCCTCTCCTCATCACCGTCGACTACTCCGTAGTGAACAATCCCGTTGTCCACTCTGAGTCTCTATCGTCAACCTTTACCCACATCTCGGACCCATACGTCTCGGCACTTGACGAATTCCCGGCAGGGACATTGAGCTGCTCATCACGGATTGAAATCTCATCGAGCCGTCGCGAACGACAATTCCTTAGCTTCCAACTGGAATTCAGATCGAGGACAATTGTCTGACAGGCCATCCCAAAGGCACAGACAAAAACCTCGGACCGTTGAAAGATACCACCAAACTCAATCGTCTTCCCGAGACCACATTCCACGGCGTCTCCGCCCAGACCCTCCGTGTCTCTCTTCCTCCTCCCAGCCACCGGGCTCTCCACACAAGCTGTCCCCCGCACCGCTCCACACCGGCGCCGGGCTCACTCCCACAACCCCCACCAAAAAACCATCGCGGCCATTAGAAGAACCGCACAAGACCAAAGGACGAACAGTCCTTGCTAGCAGTCATGGTCAAACAAAACGACGTCATCGCGATCATTGTCATCGTGCTGTTCGTCGTCCTCGCCCTCGTGGCCTTTGGCATTTACAGATTGGTCCACGTTGCGCGCCAGAGCATGAGTGTGACGTCTGGGTCGAGTAGTAGCAGCTCCGACGAGATTGTCGACGACTGATCTACTCGCCGTTCATCTTTACGGGATTTACTCGGCGCTGCGGCTCGCTGCTGCTGCTGCTGCTGCTGCTGCTGCTGCAATTACTATCTACCATCGCATTTACACTGAGATACCACGACAAAAACTGTTTACGCAAGAAAGCGCCATCGCATTTCTTCTTGCGAGTTTGAGAGCGTTATGCCAAGGCTTCGGCTGAGACTACGACATGGAAGGGAGAAAGAAGAGAATGAATGAATCTGGGATGAGTGATAATGAGGAGGGGAAATTTGGGAAACATGGAAAGGGATATGAGACATGATTTATCGGCATTTTTATCTGGCATTTGCGCAGCATTTTCTTACCATTCAAAGTTGGTCATTTGCGTTACAAGATGCAGCAAAATGTGTCTTTATGGGGGAAGATATCTACGAGTGTATGATACTGGATCTGGGATGGGCTGCGCCGGGATTGGCGACCTTTTTGAAGGCATGAAGATGAGCCCATGTACACAGAACGAACAAATGGGATGAAGTAGGCCTTTATAGGCTCAAGATGAAATAGAAAGAATACCAGATATCAACACATCTGGCAGGATCAATGTACCCGTGGTTTCCTTCAAGGAAAAGGAGGCGTTTGAGAGAGATAAAAGACCGTTCCTCAACCTCTCATTACCTTTCCCAGCAATGTATGCGATTGTGACGTTATCGGCCGCGATTGCACGTAGCGAACGTCTTGTGGCCAGCTGCCTAAGTACTTGCTTAGCCGGTTCCAAAAGAGCTCGCCAAGTATCTGATAATCTCGTGCCTTTTGTCCATTAATCACGGTCATCGTTAACGTATTCATAACTAAATCGTCAGGAAGGGGGCCATGACTACAAATGGCAAATGCTAAAATAAGATACCTAGCCTTGAATTAATCCCGTGCCTTTCCTTTCGCAATCACAGTCATCGTTTACATATTCGTGTCTAGATAATCACTAATATATGCGAAGGCGCCCGAGCAGAGGCTAAAGCAGCTTTGCTAATTAGGGATATATGCAAAGTGACTAAGCAGATACCAAAGGGTGCTTCTGATCACGAATACGTGCGAATGCGCTCGAGTAGATACCAAGCGGCCCTGTTCTTTGTCAAGATAACGAGACAGCCTAGGTAAAGGCGGGTGAGTGCAAATCGGTACCTGTGTTCCTTCCTTGAACCCATTCAAAATCTGAGAACATGACAAATTGTGAGGATACTATGCGTTCCATTTGAGGTAAGCATTCAGATGTTGAACGTAAGTTTCTTTGAACTTTACATGGGTTCGTGATGGTAGTTCTGTTTTTGTCTACTCGGGAGCTCATATGCCTCTCGAGCACGCATAGCATACCCAGCCCGGTCAAGGTTACTTTCGGTTGTTTAGGAGCTAGGGCAAAAATGAAGAATAAAAGCACAGGAGTGAGCTTTTCAAATCTTCATAAGCCCATACTTTGACACTTAATTAGAAGTAAAACGGTGCCAGATCGCTGCTGACAACTTGCATGAATGATGGGACCACTCACGTTGCATGCTGTGGGTATTGGCTGACGGGCAAGGAACTCAGGCTGCCAGATCAGGCTATGAAAGGCGACCATATTCTCTTCCGTCGACCTCTTAAACCTCAGCCAATGACATCATTACCAAAATGCGTCTGATCAATGTGAACACACTCCTGCTGGGGGAGTTCATGGGCCGGTGTCCCCAGTACGCAACCCTATCTCACACTTGGAATGGCACGCAGGAGATAAGTTTCAAGGAGTGGCACAAACAATATGTCGCCGGATCAAAAGAGCAGGGGTACGCCAAACTACTCGGGGCTTGTCGGTTAATACGATAATTCGGTCTCGAGTACCTCTGGGTTGATACGAATTATATCGATAAGAAAAGCTCCGCAGAGCTCTCAGAGGCAATCAATTCGATGTTCAACTAGTATCAGGAATCGGCTATCTATTTCGCATATCTCGAAGACCACGAATTTGAGGTTACCATGCCGCAAAGCTCAGGCGATGGTGTTCCAAGCCAAAACAACGTTGTCGATCTGAACTCGCTCGTAGTCGTCTGTTCACCCGCGGCTGGACATTACAAGAGCTCTTGGCCCCGAGGCGGATGTACTTCTTTGACAAGAGCTGGAGGATCCTAGGATCGCGGCAAGACTTCGCGCCTGAAGTTTCAAACATCACCGGAATAAGAAACGAGTACGTTTCCGGCGCCAAGTCAGTCTTGGACGCGAGCATCTCGGAGGTATTTTCCCGGCTGGCGGGCCGGGAGACGACAAGTCCCGAAGACATGGCTTATCGCGTGCTCGGGCTTCTCGGTCTCAACATGCCGTTGCTTTACGGCGAGCGCTCGGCGGCATGTATGCGCCTCCAGGAGGAGTTGATCCGCATCTCGGACGACCAGACGATCTTCTGCTGGACGTGTGATCATATGATCCCACACAACTGGAGTAGTCTACTCGCGCCATCGCCTTCGGTCTTCAAGGGCGGCGACCGTTTCCTCTGCGGGTCCGAGACTGACGAGCACATTGTCGGATGGAGAAAGGCCACATCGTACTCGATGACCAACGTAGGTCTACGCATCCGTTTGCCCACGCTGAGGATATCGGGTCTAGACCTTGCCGTCTTGAACGTATCCGAAAGGAGAAGCGACTCGGGAGAGCAGGACCCTATCACAGGTCGTGTCTGTATTCCTCTCATGACGAACAACTACCTCGATGAGGTCTATGGCGTCTCGTCGACACTGATTGACGACTCTGTGCTTAGTGCTCAACGATGGCCGATTCCCGGACAACCCATACCTGTCTACGAGCTGAGGAACATATGCCCCTCGTCCCTACAGGATTTCTACATCCGTCCGTTGCAACGAGACGCGAAGATAGTAAAGGACACTATATCACTCTGGCAAGCAGGAAGACCTAAGTATCCATCACTACAAACGATATTGCCAATCATCGAGACGCGAATGGCACCATCCTCTCACCTGGAATTTAACTCGATCGATACGTTTTTTCCGGAAATCTGTAATCCCACGGTACACAAAATCTATCGAGCGTCTCCATGTAAATTCGACTAGTCAGCATTTCTTCTATGCCCCATTCAGAGGTCTTTTCCTACTCCTCAACACGAAATTACGTGGAGCACTCGGCAATGAGCTACAATTGCACGTTGGAGACAATCGGATCGAGAAACTGGTTATTGGGGCTTACACTGGGACTGGAGCAAATTCGCCACCAGAGAAGGGAAAATGTGACTGGTTTTGTTATTTTAAAGACGAGCAGTCGACGCGAGTAGTATCAGGCGAATGGTCCTGTAATATGGCATGTTCACCGGACAGGACAATTTTAATGCATCTGGATCGACACACGATTCAGTTGCCACACGGAGTTGTTGCAGAACCAGTGTACATCTCCTTCTTGCCGGCGCCGTCTCTGGTAGACCGGGCACTTGACAGATGGGGGCTTTGGAACAACGCGGATATCATTCAAAATACTATGCATTGTAAGATGTTGAGTTGGCGGGAGGAGGTCGGCGGCCGATAGCCAAGAGTCGACGAGGCAGATGGAGGGTCAATATAGCAAATGAAGTACAATGGCTTGAAAGACCTATTATCGAGATGAAGTTCGGTCACAAATCGTGGAGGGAAAAGGATTGGAAGAAAAGTGCTGTCTTGAGGCCTTCTTTATTGTCTATGTCGAGGAGCAACGGGAGAGACCGCCATACATTAGCGACGTTTCGCTTTGCGTATTGGTTCACTTGTTCTGATGGATTGATATTTTAGGGCGATGTCCACATCTGAACCACAACTATTCAGTTTCTGTCCAGAAACTGAACGAAAGCACTTGTTTGCGAGGTGAACCGAGGCATCAATACTCTGAAAGGGCACCGACGACACCAAAGAAGACGGCTCGAAGGGAAACAACTCGAATGTTGCCGACAAAACTATTTGATTTCTTTTCACAGAGACCAGAGAGTGAGCAGGACATATAAACTGGTTTACTGGCTCCTGCCTATATCCCAACGCTCATAGCTGGCCTGCTTCCACTTCAACAGGCTGTCAACTAAAAAGACAAGGACCAAGCAGCATCACCACCCAAATGAGCCAAATAGACGGCGGCCTCGACTTCAACTACCCCGCCCGCAACAAGATCCTCTATCAAGAGCAGACCAAAGTCGGCTACGTCGACGGAGACTCAACGACGCGTACCGAGAAGCCGGCCCCCAGCTGTACGCAGGAGAGGTGCTCAAGCTACGTGCAGGTCGCTTTCTCAAGAATTGTATACTTCCAGGCAGCACGTACTTCACAGCCGGAATGACACCGGAAGGTAAGGCCAGGCTCCGCTGCATGAGAGGATGGCTGTGGAAAGAATGCAAACGGACGCTGGGAGAGTATAAGAGTTGGCGTTACAAGTACACGGTCGAGGGCACTATCACGTTCCATGGCCGTATACAACCGATAGACAGGGAGAACCCAGAGGAGACAGCTCAAGGCGCTCAGACGAGCCAATATCAGACTCAGGTGATTGAGATGCCGTAGGAGGAGGATACGGTGAGCGAGGACCAGCGAGAGAGCGGTTAGATTCCTGGTGCTTGGTCTTTTGGTGATAGGGCGAAGGTAGCCTTGAGGCCGAGGGTGTCTTCTTGGTGAACCTGCAACGTTGGCAGGTTGCCTTACACATTGTTGTGCTCTGGTTGTTGTCTATACCATACCCTCCATGGAAGAATTCACAGCTAGATAATGGGATGAGAAGTCTGGATCATTGAGCTATTGGCAGAGCGATGATTCAAACGCACATGAGATAGAAAGCTGAGAATGTTGTTATGAGACAGGAACATATCAAGGCGAGATAATACTGTCTAAAGTGAACGCCCCTCTCTTTCATGGGCGAACTGCAGTTGATTTCGAAGGGTAAAATGGAGTAGCGTTTTTTGACATTGGGGCTGCCTCAGAGTCTGTGAGGCTCATAATCAATGATACCTCTGTTGCTGCTTCACTCGACGTTGATAGTTGGACGTTGAAGTTGACCATCTGAAGTCGGATGCACGGTCCACCTCCCAAACCAGAGTGGCCGGTCATGAGAGCTTCGCTGGCCATCTGATGATGATATCCAAACACTGAATAGTGAGTAGCGAGTTGAGCAAGAGTCGGGTGAGTAAGCCTTTTGAGATTGGCGATGTAGCTGCCCAAGGAGTACAAGGTTCACTGTCAGAAGTGCCCGAGGGCGTCGGCAGAAAGAACAAGAGACAGAGACGGCATCGGAACCCCGGATGTTGCAGTGATGGGCGTATCGAGGGGGCTATCTCATTCATGGGCAGGGCAGCTTGAAACATGGACTGGTGGGAGGCATGACGACGGGCGCCCGAGCTCTCTAACAACCTTGCCGAATGATGCGTCTGATATCGGTTCGGTGCATAGACGGAAAACAAGCAACGGGAATATGCGGGCGTGTGTCTCTTCTTACAAGAATGAATTATTCATGTGAGGTTGAAATATCGTCTAAAAAGGTGGTCTCCTGCACGGTAACCTTCGCAAGAAGAGTATTGCTGGAAAAGGGGACCGAGTTGCAGGGCGAGCTGCGAACGAGCCAGGCGATTGCGGGACATCAGAAGTCAATCGGTGGCGGGACATTCCACCACCTTACGGATACTTAGGTACTTGCAGATAATTAGCGTTGTGGCATTGGGAGGAAGGAGCCACCTCATCCCTCCCAAACCAATCTTTCAGCGCACCCGATTGCGTAGCCCAGGGAGGTATGTCGCTGCAAGTTCCCGTCAGGTAGCAGATAGACAGGCATTGGGGCAGGTACCACCAATGTACCGTGGAGTCGATGCGGGACCGAGATGGTAGAGGCATTAGACATTGAATTCTGTGAATGACCAGACTTGACGACTGTTACTGAAGAAAAACGATGGAAAAATAAATATACATTTTGAAGGTGAAAAAGAAAGATTCAAGTAACAGGAACGTCTTCACCAGCCACACTGATGGCGAAGTGGCGGCGCTATCAGACTTAGCTCGGGACTGGCGCTAACAGGAGCCCCAGACTCGACGGTCGAAATACTTTCCACCCCATCAACCAGCGGGACCAAAGGCTGCCCTGGCAGCAAGCTACCCCCAAGGACAGACAGACTCCAGCACACGTCCACCCGTTCCCCTTCTGGCTTGCATCACGACACGACCTCGAAATCCCACCTCAACCTCATTCAACTCCCTTCCGAGCGTATTGTCCCCTCATCGCACCGCCACGCCGCCCTCCCGATTCCGATTGCGCGACGACCATGTAAATGGTTCCTCCCATTGCATTGCGAACACCCTCATGATTGCTCCATTCCACTGCGACGGGACCGCCCTACCGAGCAGCCATGGACAACAGGGCCCAACGATTCGAGGATGAGAAGCGGCGCATCATCGAGAGCTGCTTCATCAAGAAGGATGTAGACGGATCGTGTGCGTCGAACCCCGATGTCGCTAGAATTTCTCACTCAAAAAAGTCTGCTTCATATGCGTATGGTACTGACCCTTGCTTCCGTCGATAGTGCTCGAGACATACATCACCCACATTCGAATCACCGAGTACTCCTCCCATCCGACCTCTCCTCCACCGCCTCAAGCACGAACACCCGAATCACAGAAACCCCGCGTAATCGTCGTTGCAGTGCGAAAGAGTGGCCGAGTGCGTATGCACAAAACGAAAGAGAACGCCAACGGCTCCTTCTCAATTGGAAAGACATGGAACCTCGACGACCTCTCTGCCATCGAGTCCTTCACGGGGCCGCCGGCTAACCCGACCTTCCGCGAATGGGCTGGTGATACTGGCTTCATCGTCACCATCGGAAAGCCTTACTTCTGGAATGCGCAATCGGATAAGGAAAAGAAGTTCTTCATTGCCAGCCTGGTTAAGATCTATGGCAAATACACGGGAGGCAAGATCCCTGAGCTATCGGGCTTCGACCAGGCCGAGATGGCCCAGATCCTGAGAAACGAACGACGACCACCCCCTCCCGCACAGGCTGCCTTCCGACCTCCCGCAATGCCCGATGCTGCTTCTAGTCAGACCAGCCTCGGCGCTCCGAATGCGCCCTCCAACTATGGCACTCCCTCGCCTGGCCCCCCAGGCCCTCGCCGACCACCACCTCTCAATGGAATGGCGAATAACTCACCAGCGGGAAGCATGGCATCTTCGTTCTCGCAGGAACCCCCTACGCTGCGAAGATTCGGGAACAAGAGCCAAGAATCTTTCTCGCCTTCCCTGGGAGGCAGGAGCGACGATACGGGAAGCATGCCGCCGCGCTCACGGAATGGCATGCCTGGGCAAGGGGCCTTTGGTAGGTTCGGTGAGCCAGGTCAAGAGCCTGGACTAGGACCACCTCCGCCAATCTCCGAAGAAGGCAGACCGCCAGAGAGGAAGAGGCCACCGATGGACCCGGCAAGGCCCCAGGGACAGGGCTTCAACGACAGAGACCTGGTTCCTGCGCCCTTAGTGAGCCCGGGGATGCGACGAGATCAAGTTGCCCCTCCCCCGAGGAGTACAGCCAGGAAGAACTCTCTTTCGCAGAGGTCAGATGGAGGTTCTTACAGGGACAACCGACCAGTTACACCCCTTACGCCTGGAGACCCAGGTGCACCAGATGTTCCTCTCGCACTCAGAACCCCAACAAGAAATGGGGCAACACCCACAAGACAACCTCCTCCTATTGTCTCTCCGCCGCCTGAAATCCCTGTTCCCCCTGTTCCCCCTGCCCCAGTTTCTCCCATCGTGCAGAGTCCGCCTCCAGCCCCTCCACCAGCGCCTGTAGCTGCGGTTGAGGAAATCATACCCGAGGAGCCTCCGGCTGTTGAGCCTACCCCTGAGCCTGAGGCTCCCGTGGAACAAGAAGATGAGAGTCGGCCGGGTTTAGGACCGATGATTAAAGCAAAGAAATCCAAGAATGACCTCGCTGGTGTGCTCTGGAAGGCTGCCTCCGCTGCCTCAGCTTTCAAGCCTCGGCCTGGTGGTGCTGGTGAAAGACTTCGACAGCTTGCCACAAAGAGCACTGAACCTGCCGAAGGAATCACAACAGTTTTCCAACCTCCGCCACGGCCTGCGTCCTCTGACGGCCCCAAATTCACATCCCCAGAACCTGCAGTCGAAGAGACTGCTGCACCTGCGGAGCCTCCCAAGCGCACATCTGGTGTGCCTGAGGTCAAGGTCACTGTGCCTAATTCTAGTCGACCATCAAGCTTGCAGCCCTCGATTCAGGAAGTTATTAGCGTGAAGAAGCCAGAGGAATCCGTAACCAAGGAGGAGAACAGCAAGTCGATAGTTGCCGGTAATGACGCCAAGTATCTTGCATCTCTTGGTATTGACCCCACAGTCTTGGATAACAAGAGCGGCGAATTCACAAAGTGGCTTGACTACTTTGGCTGGGTTCCTGGCGAGCAGATGAGATCTCGTAACGTGGACGAGATGAGGACAGACCTTGAGCGAGAGCTCAACAAAGCCCAAGCCGGCGGCTGGCTAGCCCGGTTCCAGGAAGAGGATGATCGTGTCGAGGCTATCAAACGCGGCATCGATCTGGCAGTCGCTGAGTGTGAAGAAATGGAGAATCTTCTGACGCTGTACAGCGTTGAACTTTCGGTAGGTTGCTTCGTAAACTTTCCGAAACTGTTGCTGACTAGAAATAGACTCTTTCTGATGACATTGCATACATTGAAGCCCAAGGCCAGGGTCTTCAGGTGCAAACTGCTAACCAGAAGCTGCTCAAGAAGGAGCTCGAGTCTCTTCTTGAAACAACTACTATTACTTCTGCTGATCTGAACGCCTTGAGAGCGGCACCACTGGAAGACCTGAACGGCCTTGAGGACATCGAAATGTCTTTAGTCACTCTCTACAAGGCCATGATCAAGATTGATCCCACATTACTAGGGGGCGAACCACGAAAGAGCGAAGATATCGGCGGAGAAGTTGATCAAGCCGTGGGTCTCGAGAACACCGACTATGGCAAGATGAGAATCGTTCAGGAGAAGAAGGAGATGTACCGACAAGAAAGCGCTGTCTTCTCGCGACGGTTGGTCGGCTACATGGCCCAACAGTTCGATGTGGCCTACAACGAAGTCAACAGAGCGCTTCGCGAAGCTCTTTCAAGAAAGGTGGATTCTCGCCACCACGACACCGGTCGGGACATGTTGTGGAAGTACAGTCCCTTGATCAAATACGCCAAGGACGTCGACCCCGCCAACTGGGATCGCATGATCCAGGTCTACCAAGACAAGAGCCACCCGGTCTATAAGAACGAATTCCGCCAGGTCTTGGAAGCGTGGAAGCGCAATGCGCGCAAGATGACCGCTGACGAGACATCCGAGCTCCTGTTTACATTTGAAGTCGAAAAGCAACAGGAAGGCAGAGCGACCACTGTCAGGAAGCTTACCGTCAAGCGGAGTCAAACATTGGCCAAGAGTCTGCGTTCGCCCATCGATACCAGCAGCAGGACTAACCTGAAAGAGTCGGGCGAGAATCGAAGCCTTCCTTACGAGGTATTTGGGCAGGTACTGGACGA